TCACAATCTCCAAGGATAGAGTCCAGGGTCTTTTCTTTAGATCCCCTAGCCACCACTTTAGCACATCTGTCAAATTTTAGGGGGCCAGAATAATCAGAACTGTACTTAGAGCTCCAGTTCTCTAAGCCATAGGTGGTGGTCACTCTTCTTTGTCTAGAAGCACAATGCCACAGTGAAGAGGAGCAGGGGTGGATATTCTTTGTTTACTTTATTCCCATAGAGCTGGGAATGGAGCTCAATGGTAAAGCACTTGCAGAGCATGTGCTCAGGTCTGGGTCCCAATTCCAGAAGCACACATTAAACATAGTCAATTCTACGCCTCTTTTTAAAAATACAGTAACACTAAATTTGAATGTAATACAGCAAAACACATGACTAGAAAGTCTGGGATGGGAATTGACTGAGCAGGGTTTTCTGGAATTACAATATTTTATAAGATGAGGATTAAAAAGTGACACAATTTAAAAAACTTTAAGTAAACTCAACATATATACCAAATGAATATATCTAAACTGTAAAATCCCTTACAGCTTACCCTACTCTTCAAAAATATCTTCTCTATTTTTCCCACTCATATGGTCCACTCAAACAGCATTAAAGAGTAAAAGTTTACTACTTCTCTATGTAAATGTCCTACTTTAATCACTGAAAAACGTGTGATCAAAATCCAAGAAGCATCTTAGATTTTTAGAGTTCTTCCTAAAAAGAATGAATAGCTTAGACTAATGCTATTATTACCACTCAGTTAATTCCCCTCTTTCTCTTTCTATTGTTTTAATTAAAGGGGTTCTCTCAGCATAGAAAACTACACACATTAGCAAAGGGTGCCACCCTGCAGTAGCCACTAAGTCATTCTTTCACATGATCATGTATATCAATACAGGGGAAGCTTGAACCTTCAGGGGTAGGTTTTCACAAAACAAGAAGGCAAGACATATTACCGTGCATCACAGTACCAGCGACTTTCAGCCACAGCATCCAAATAGGAAGTTAGCCAGCAGACAACTTTGCAGCCAAGCAAGGTCCTAAACAAAAAGTCTCCTTTGTACAAAGAAAAATGTTTCACTTAATTTTTTTTTTTTTTTTTTTTTTTAGAAAAAGGCTGTAACTGGAAAATGTTTTCCTCAATGATTGCCCCAAAGTTCAGTGTTGTAACTTCCTATTCCAGACACCCACTGCATCAATCAAACTGAGCACAAACGCCCAAGATACAGTTCCATTTCCAATCCTCAATGGTGGATGGATCCCCTCTTTCCAATCTTATTTCCATCTACTTTAAAAAACAAAAAACAAAAAACAAAAAAAAAAAAAAAAAGAAACTTTTCTAAAGAAAATGAAAGTATTTCTCAGGTCAATTTCTTCAAAGCTGAACCCATACTCCAATTAGATTTTGTGTTTAATAGAGGGCCTCTCCCCCAAATGATAATACATTATAACACTAATAATGGGAATATAGTTAAAGTTCTACATCTTTTGCTCTTGTGGTTTTAATATCAGCTTCAATATAACATCCTTTAAAAAGCTTTTTTTTAAGATTTTATTTATTTATTATTTGTACAGTGTTCTACCTGCATGCCACAAGAGGACACCATATCTTATTACAGATGATTGTGAGCCACCATGTGGTTGCTGGAAATTGAACTCAGGATCTCTGGAAGAGCAGCCAGTGCTCTTAACCTCTGAGCCATCTCTCCAGATTTCTTAATCCTAAATGCAGCTATTCATTTGATGGTCTGTATCACAGGTGCAGCAGTTATAAGAAGGGGATCTCTGGAGTCCTTGGTCTGTTTGACCCTGTTTGACTCACCATTCTAAAACTAGATTGTTCCACTGAGCTAGTGCCTTCCCTCTACCACTGGCTGTTAGAATTCATGATCTGCATCAAATACTAGCATGGTAAAGGCTTGTGAAATATTATCCACATGCAGTATGTCTGCCGATGTCTTTGTGTCTTATAATACATAGGAAGACATCATTAAAATTCATTCCTCAGTTCTGAAAGGCTTAGAGGGTGCCCAAAGTTTAGCTCTGCTTGATGGAAAAAGGAGCCCAGAGGTACAAGACTACAAGGGTCTACTCCAAAACACAAATTAATTAAGAAGGAACTGATTACTACATTGGCATATTAACTATAAACACGTTTATTAAAAAGCTTGATTTCCTAGGTTATGTAGCATGTCTTTCATAAAAGTTAATAATTTATTTTGGCAAAATGTTTTTATTCAATCCAAATTAATGGTGTATTTTTTTTCTTTTTAGATACATGCAACTCCCTGAAACCTGATAATGATAAATAGATAAATCTGTATTTCAGTATTAAAAATACAAAACAATTTTTTTTTGTTATGCTGAGGACTGAACGTAGGTCCTTATATATGGCAACCACTGAGCTACAATCCCAGCTCACAAATCATTCTTATATCCAAAATTGTTCTACTTAATGACTGCTGTGGTTTGGATAGATAGAAAAAGTGTTTTTCCCGAAACTAAAGGGCCAAGCGATGCAGAAGATTAGGTGGGTTAGTGACAGTTACAAACTCAAAGTTCTTGCTAGTGGCAGCATTCAGAATGGCCTCTGTGAGACAGGACTGCTTCTAGGGTTTTAATTGTCAACCAAACATAACTTCTCCTCCTCTTATTTTTAAAAGCAGAATAGAAACTTCCAATATTGGCTACCCTACAGTACAAACCAATTATCTACCAAGTGTTTCTTCATAAGATGAACAGGCTGGCTTCCAGACTGGTAGAGCTCCCCTGAACTGATTTTTAAATACTGTTTTGTTTTTTTTGTTTTACAATAAGAGGCTGGGATACAGCATCATTAACTGCTTTTACAGTAAGACTATTTTGAGTTTGCAAGATTCAAAATGAAATTCTTTAATAAGCAAAAGTAAAACATGTATTTCAAAGGTCATGATTTGGCTCTTAAAATAGCAGAATTATGATTCTTATATCAATATCATATAATTAAGGATACTATAAAGGAGTTAGGGGTTCTAATGTTATCAGTCTGAATTAAAACATTTCATAAGATTTTTGTTCTTTCTAAATTAAAAAAATGTGTTTATTTTATGGGCACAAATGTTTTACGTGCATATATATACATTCACTTCATGCCTGTCTGGTGCCTGTGGGGACAGAAGTCACTGGATCCCCCAGAACTGGATTTATGGATGTTTTCTAAGTTGCCACATATGGGCTGGGAACTAAACCCTGGTCCTCTACAAGAGCAGATAGTACTCTTAACCTCTGAGCCATCTCTCTCCAGACCTTAATTTTTTATTTTTGCAATGCTGGGTATCTAACTCAAAGTCTCCTGTATACTAGTCAAGGCCTCATGTATACTAAATTGATCTACATCTCCAGCACTGTTATTATTATTATAAGGTCAAAGCCTTCCCTAATGAACCAGCATCCAAGCTGCTGACAATCCTAGCTAGAATAATGAACACTTCACACAGAACTTCTGAGATCTCAGTCTACATGTGTATGGAAGCCAAGAGTTTTGTCTTCACTGAACCATAACAGTTTCATCATTTTATCTTTAAAAAACTAAGTTTCCCACTGACCTGTATTTGGGTTTAGTATCACACTACAAATGGAGTCCACTTTATTAGCAGCATTAATCAACGAGGCACAAGCACACTCAAATTCTTGGCAGGAGCTGCCATGCTAACTTAAAACGCCTCCCCCATTGGTAGACAATTTTTTGTTTTGTGACTGGGTGGATCTTATTGTGCGATCCTGGCTGGCTTGGAACTCACAGCCTCTGCCTTCACAATGCTAGGATTATAGGTGTGAACTAGCACACTTGATTTTTTTTTTTTTAAGTCACAGCTTAATCTTTAGGATAAGGAGCCCTAACTACTACAAGTAAACAGACCTGTTCAATATTCCTAAGGATCTGAAAGCAGCCTTGCTGTTGGGATAAATTTCAGTCAGATTTCATTAAAAATCCTGTAGCAAAACTGTTATTTTATAGGTCAGTGGAAGCATATTTACATACTGCTTTCTAAAGCCACCCTCTCTGTATCAATTAAATAAATTCAAATGACTAGGTTAAGTGCATTCTGGGACTGAGAAGTCCCAAACCCCACAGGTAAACTTTAAAACATTTTAAGATTTATTTTATTTTTAATTGTGTGTCTCTGTGGGGGAGTGGTTTGGTATGTTCATGCAGAATGTAGTACCTGTGGAGGCTAGAAGGGGATACTGAATCCCTGAAGCTAGAAATATAGTTAACTCACCCAACATAATTGCTGGTAATCAAACTTAGGGCCTCTGGAAGAGAAGCAAGAGCCCTTAACTGCTGATCTATTGGTCCCAACATAGTACACTTCTAACAGTGTGTGTGTGTGTGTGAGAGAGAGAGAGAGAGAGAGAGAGAGCGAGAGAGAGAGAGAGAGAGAGAGAGAGAGAGAGAGAGAGAGAGAGAATTCATGCATGGAGATCAGAGGACAACCTCTGATTTTTTTCCTTCTACCATGTGGTCCTGAATATTAAACTCAGACTATTAGGCCAGGTGGAAGGCACCTTAACCTGCTGAAACATCTCCTTGGCTCAAGTTTTAAATTTTTAAAAATGATTTTTTTACTTTATATGCATTCATATCTGCCTGCCTGCATGTCTATGTGAGGGTGTTGGATCCCTTGGAACTGGAGTTACAGACAGTTGTGAGCTGCCATGTGGGTGCTAGGAATTGAACTGGGTCCTCCAGAAGAGCAGCCAGTGCTCTTACCTGCTGAGCCATCTCTCCAGCCAGTTTTTAATTTTTAAGTAATAGTCAAAACTACATCTAAAGCTTATGCTGTATTAAATGGTTCACTCAGCCACATTTGGGACCTACTGGCAACCCTTAAGTAGAAAAAGGATGAGCTAGTAACTACTTCCTATTTCAAGAGAAGTGGGGCAGCAAAAGATTTCCACCTCATCCTCAGTTACAGCCTCTTTCTTAACATTTTTCTTTTGTTAATGTGCAAAAAAAAAAAAAAGTTATGGACTTGCCTTGTGAGGTCGAAAATATAGATACAGGCTGAGAGGAAGAGGAAGAAACAAAGGAATCTGAAAGAAAATATACAGCATAAAAATTGACAACCTTATATAGGAATCTTAATTTCAACTTTCTTTTTCTGGAGGTTTATTGGCCAAGAGAAGACTCAAACTTTATTCTGATTACGGTTTTCACTCACCTGCCAGTGATACCTCATTTCACTTCCGGGTGCACTTCTAGAAGTTTACCAAGGCAGTCTCTTTTAGACAAGCATTTCACCTTCAGGAGAAAAGAGGACGTCCTACCATTTCATAACAGCTACAACCTCAGGAGCAGATGCCCCTCTGCTGCTGTTTGACAAAGTTGGTTTCTAAGTACTAACTGCTATTTGCTTTAAATATTTTCAACTACATTTTGAAGCATTAAGTCACTAAGATGACAAGGCAGGTGGATGTCTGTAAGTTTGAGGCAAGCATAATCTACAAAGCAAGTTTCAGGATGTCTCAAAACAACAACAAAGTCACTAACATGAGTACTTAGAAATATTAAACTGGGCTGAGAGGTAGTGGTGCATGCCTTTTAAGCCCAGCATTTGGGAGGCAGAAGCAGGTAAATCTCTGAGTTCAAGGCCAGCCTGGTCTACAGAGTGAGTTCCAGAATAGCCAAGGATATACAAACAACAAAACAAAACAAAAAAACCAAGGCAAAACCTGACCCTCAATATTTTAAAAAACAAAAGTCACAATTCACTGGAAAACAGGGCTAACATGAGAAATCTTTCATCTTTGAAAATCACAGTCCTCCAATCTGTCAACATAAAAAAATGTAACGTACACATAACATCCCCTTTTTATCTGCACCATAAACATACCCTTTGACTAAGCACTTAATGCAAACAAGGCACTTTTTTTTTTTTTTTTTTTTTTTTTTTTGAGACAGGGTTTCTCTGTGGCTTTGGAGGCTGTCCTGGAACTAGCTCTTGTAGACCGGGCTGGCCTCAAACTCACAGAGGTCCTCCTGCCCCTGCCTCCCCAGTGCTGGGATTAAAAGCATGCACTTCCAATCCCCAGCAGACAAGACACGTTATGTGTACAAGGACAGGTGTGTGAGGCTATCCAGTAAGAGTGCTGGCTTTTAAGTACTAGAAATAATGTAAATGTCTGCCAACAGAAAGCTAGTTAAAAAAACAACATTGCAACTAAAAGCGACTAACAGAAGGGATTAATGGTTAATGGTCTGGGGTGAAACCAAAATGGTAATGACGGTCTATAACCCCAGCATTTGGGAATTAAATTCAAGAGGGTCTGTTCAAGGCACCTTAGGATACACGAAAGTCTGGCACCTCTGTCTCTGTCTTCTCTGTCTCACACACACACAGAGCCACTCATGGAGGCACACCTTTCAATCCCAGCATTCAAGAGGCAGAGGCAAAGGCAAGCAGGTCTTTTTGAGTTGAGGCCGACATAGTTTATATAGAGGTCTAGGCTAGCAGAGTCATTACATAGTGAGACTCTATTTTCAAAAAGAGAAGAGGAATAGGAAGAAGAAAAGTTGTCTGGGATAGAAAGATTTTGCTTTTTGGCACTTAAGAAAACATGATCTTTTCAGTAAAAATAAATTAGAAGAGAAAAAAAAAAAAAAGACTCCTGAGATAGCAAAATGGGTCAGCAGTAAAGGTGCTTGCCACCAAGCTTGATAATCTAAGTTCAGTACCAGAGTTCACACATGATAGGAGATAACCGATTCCACAAGGTTGTGATCTCCATAACAACACTGTGACATGCATGCACCCATATAAATACAAAGTAAATGTTAAAAGGTCACATAAAAACAAAACATTCCCCAAAATGTCCTAAATATAAAAAAATGTTATGAGCTCTTTTTTTCTTTCAATTATAAAAATGTTTTCATAAATACTAAACTTTTACTTAAAATCAGAAGATTGTTTTAAATAACTAAGCAATAGCATTTTCTGTTAAGTATTATTAATTTAGGAGAATTTTTTTATAACAAATACAGAGCACATTAAAATCAAGGCAGAATTTGGTGGAGATCAGATAGTCACTCATTAATTCAAAATCAGAATTTGAAATTCACTTTCAAGTTGCCTTAAGATAAAGTATCATATACATTCTTAAACATTCTCAGCCAGGAAGTGGTGGTGCACACCTTTAATTCCAGCGCTTCTGAGGCAGAGGCAAGTGGATCTCTAAGTTCAAGGCCAGCCTGGTCTACAGAATGAGTTCCAGGCCAGGACTGTTACATAGAAAAATCCTGTCTCAAACAAAACAAAACAACTGTTCTTGCTCTTCTTAAAATAATTTATTATTTTAAATTATGTATATCTATGTGTGGACATGTACACATGAGTTCAGGTGCCTGCATATTCTACAAGGGGGCATTAGATCCTCTACTACTGAAGACACAGGCAGTTGTGATCCACTGGGGGTACTGGGAACCAACTTCTGCAAGGGCAGAATTTACTCTAAAACTCACAGCCATCTCTCTAGCCTCTCCCCTCTTTGTAAAGGAAAATCCTTACTATCTCTTGCTCAGTGTTTCCAGATGGGTTCATTTCTAAATGCAATTAGTGCCAACATTAAATCTATCAACTGACCAGTTTAAATTTAAACAGTCAAGTGTGATGGCACACACCTATAATCCCAGAATTCACAAGGCTGAAATAAGAGATTGTAGGTTTAAGGACAGTCTGGGCTACATAGTAAGACCCTGCCTTGAAAAATAAGCAAAAACCAAAAACAAAATAAATGTATATGACAACCTGCTTGGGGGGGAAGACTCCTTTAAGTAAACCCAATGACAAAACAAACAAACAAACAAATAAATAAATAAGCCCTATGAACCTTCCAGCTGTCTGCCTGTTCATTTCTACTTATAACCCCCACCCAGTGGAAAATTCCATCCTGCCAATTTGTATGCATAGCATCTGTTCTGATAGGGAAGAGAGATAACCAGCAGTTTGCAACAATATTGCATGAGGTTTCTTACTTATAAAACCACATGATATTCCTACTCATGATATTCTACCCTGTAAGGAAGTGAACTGTAGAACGTTGATCTTAATCCTCCAAAATGAGTGGAATAACTTTCTGTAAGCAGCTAGTCTAATACAGTAAGAGCCTTAAAACTTGAGTAGTGAGTTGTTGGAATGCAGTAGCGACAGCCACTGGGATAAATAAAGATTGCTCCAGAAGAGACTTTGCCATCTTAAGTGAAAAAGGGCCAGAGGAGGGGGTGGGACAGTGGAGGGTGGGGGCAGGTGGATCTGGGAAGATTCCAAATGCCTTTACATATCTAGATGATACACTTTGTACAGTGAGGAATCACTATAGGGTGTGACACTATCATATATAAGTGTTTTCAGGAGGAGACTGTTTTGTTTGGAGACAGGGTCTCACTATGCATCCTCGAGAGTATTGGCTTCACAACACCCAGCTTTTACCTATGTTTTAAAAAGAACTCAGACCTTGGCTGGGCATGGTGGTGCATGCCTTTAATCCTAATACTTAGGAGGCAGAGGCAAGCCACCTTAGTCTACAAATGGAGTTCCAGGACAGCCAGGGCTATTCAGAGAAACCCTGCCTCAAAGAAAACAAAACAGACAAAAAGCACAAAAAGAACTGAGATCTCTACTAAATTGGAAAGCTCCTGCATAAAGTCAGGCATGATGGGCTAGAAGTTGTCCTCTAAGCTCCATATGTATATGTTAGTGACTTGGATGGGAAGCAGAACTGTCCTGGAGAAACTCTGCAGTCTAAGTTAGCAAACCACATTGTTACTATTCCTTCAAAGATTATGATGACTCTTTATCTCAGTGTCAATCTTACTCTAAGTCCATCATTTCAGTCTGACATAAAGAAAAATATGGCAGACCCAATTTGGAAGATGTTCTGTAAATTATCTTGATTGGTATTCCTCAAAACTTTCAAGATCAGGGGCTGGGAAGATGACTCAGTGGATATAAGCCAGGGACCTGAGTTCAGATCCCCAGCACTCATGTAAAAGCCAGGTGTGATGCACACTTCTGTAATCCCAGCACTGGGGGAAGGAGCTTTAGAAACAAGCAGATCCTGGGGTTCACTGGCCAGCCAGTCTAGCCAAAGTAAGCTCTAGCGGTGGGGGTGGGGGGAGATAGTGGAGAATAGAGGGAGGACAAATAGAGTAAAAAATTTATAATGGGCCATATAAAGATGGAAAATACAAATAAAGTCTGAATTGTGCACATTATTATTGTGGGTTTTTTTTTTAATTTTTGAATGTTAATGAGCTAACTACAGAGTTAGCATTTGATTGCAGGAGCTGCTATGCTAAACCAATATATATATTTTAAAGGTATCTTGACTTCAAAATTTGAGTCTAAGGATATGTTACTTTGGAAAAGAGGTTCTGCTTTTGTTTCCACAAATGAAAAGCTAAGGATTCCTTCCAGGCTAATATGGTTTGATCGAACAAGACCCCCTGAATCAATGGCCCAGGTGCTCCAACATCTACAACAGCTTCAGGACTGCTGGCTGAGATGACCAACCACACAAAAAACCCCAGTCAGGACTTGAACATAATTTTAAATTTTCTCAGGATCTCCATAAGATTAACAGTGCCCCCAATCAGCAGGAAGTAGTCTAAAACACTATACTCAAACTCCCAAATATTGTTTATTTATTTATTTTTTTAAAAGATTTATTTATTATGTATACAGTGTTCTGCCTGCATGTATGCCTGCATGTCCAGAAGAGGGCACCAGATCTCATTACAGATGGCTGTGAGCCACCATGTGGTTGCTGGGAACTGAACTCAGGACCTCTGCAAGAGCAGCCAGTGCTCTTAACTTCTGAGCCACCTCTCCAGCCCCCAAATATTGTTTATAAAGGTTTGTTTTCATTTAAATGGCTAATGGTCACAGTCAATCTCTTTCTAAAGAAAAAAATAGGATATGATATAGAAATGAATACTTTAGATTGGTATGGATTTTGGTTTACTGATACAAATTTAAGGTCAATTTTGTTACTATGTATGTATGTATGTATGTATGTATGTATGTATGTATGTATAC